AACTGCTCTACAACTGTCTCGTGTACTGTCTTCTGTAACAACCCTCCCTGTGACTCGACTGAACCCGTGTGACTGTACAACTCTCAATATGTCTGGTTATATCGAGTCCTCTAACGGCCCTCACCGTGAGAACTCGAGGTCGAGAGTCGAAGACTCTTGACATGTGTATCGTCCTATCGAATCTGTACCCTATGGGTCCTCGTCACTCCGCTCTCCCCCCAGTACTCAACATACGACGTTACCTCACGATCATGGAGATCATGAATACTATGAGGCCCACCTTCCCATGATGCCGGCACGTTCGCTACGCGAATGCCAAGTCGCCACCCATCCACCGTCTGTTCCCTCCTTCGCCAGTCATCATGTTTCCCCACCAACAGTATGTTCCCTTTGGGAACGCCAAGTCACCGAAGGCCCTACTAGTCAGTCCTCATTGCGCGCATATGACATCAACCCGCTACTGGTACGTTCGCACTGCGAACGCCAAGTACCCGATGGCAACTATACGAAGTTCTCACCCATCTCACAAGTTGCGACCTCGCACACGGTACGCTCCATTGAGGAGTGCCAAGTACCCGTGGTTGACCCATCCGTCCTGGCATCTCTGACTACCTACCATCAATCCCTTAATAGCTCACTACATCACCAATCGCGATCTATGGGAATACGATCGTCCACCCCCAGGCAAGACTGGGATCACTCATCAATTACATATCCTGTTATGGTACAGACCAGATATGACCTCACTCATCCCACTATAAGAACGGATCGAGGAATGGGGAATTTCCCCCATCCCCGTAACACTACTTCTTCAGTTCCCACTTCAGGTTTGTTTATATACATGCAGCTTAGATCACATGACAGGTGCCACATCACCCTTGCACACAGCCATAACCACCTGGGTGTCTCCATGGGAGATCCCAAGGGCATCCAGTGCAGGCACGCATACTGGGCACAGTGGGAAGTCACCCAAGGTGCCTGGGCCAGGTGTATGGTGGGCGCGCTGCAGATGGGCCAATGGTACATTGATACAAAGAAGGTCGTCCATGTAGAATAAAGAGAAATTAAAGAAGAAGTAAGATAGGAGGAAAGTGGGGAAGCATGGATGAGGAGAGAGGAAGGGGAAGGGGGAGGAGGTGAGGAGGGGTGGACAGCGGGGTACCAGGTCAGGTTGGGCTGGGTGGAGCCAGGTCAGGCAGGTGTGCCCTGACAATCCTGGATGCCAATCCCGGATCAAGAATACATCCTGACCCCCAATCCTAATCTGGCATCTGGCATCAAAAATTCCAGATCATCCAGGATAATCCAATCCACCCAAAGCCCTAGTATGCTCCTGGGTTAATGTCAGGGCATACACCCAGACCTAGCCCATACCCACATCCACACCCACACTTGCACCTGCACCCACACCCACACCTGGCTGTTGCACTTCCTGCATGTGCCCTGTGCTGGACACTCCATGTGGCCGGATGCCCCAGGCCCCAGGTCTCGGGTCTCATGTGACTTCCGGATATCTCTGGAAGTTTTCAATATTGTGGCCACTGTGGGAAGATGAGAAGTTAACTTCCTTCTCATCTCTGACTGTCATGACCGACAAATCCCAGGGCTCTGTCAGCAGCGAACCAATGCCAATAGGCGAATCCGCTGACCCGAAACCCATCCTAACCAGCCCCCAACCCCATGTCTGGCCCCCTGCCTTATTGCATGAGACTTGGCCAATAATCAGAACCTAGACCCTGCCGGTATTCCCACCTTACCTCCAGTTCCTGAGCCCTTGGCGCTCCCAGCATTCAGTCCCTCCAGTTCCTATGCCTGCCTTGTCTCCATCTGAACCACACTCATTCATCAGCAAAAGTCCGTTATGCTCCGGAGCATCAAGAGTGGCTGGAGCATGTGGGAGACAAAACAGCAGATTGGGCACTCCTGGAGCCAATAGTGTTCTCCTGGGAGGGGGTTCAGGAGCAGCTGGGAGTGGTGAGGAGTATGTAATGTGCCAGGAGCAGTGGGAGGAAAATTTTGGTCTCTAAAAAGTTGAAAAAAAAAATTTAGGGAAAAATCAAAAAAAAAATTCAGGAACTATAGTGCCTTTAAAGTGCTTTCAGGACATATAATTATTTGAAAAATTGAGGAAGAAATGATGGAGAAAAATGGAAAATACTTTCGGAGACCCAAGAAATAATGAGAACTGAATTGATGGGAAAGTCTGAAAATTGAATAGGAAAGTGAGGGGAAGCCTTGTAAGCATTGTTATTTTCTGCTGTTCTGATTTTTCCTGATTGTTCTTGGTCTCACTCCCAGCTGCTCCTGGACCCTCCCAGGAGCTTCCAGGAGTATTGAGGAGCAGCTGGGAATGAGACCAAGAAGAATCGGGAAAAATCAGAACAGCAGAAAATAACAATGCTACAAGGCTTCCCCTCACTTTCCTATTCAATTTTCAGACTTTCCCATCAATTCAGTTCTTGGGTCTCCAAAAGTATTTTCCATTAGCTGCTCCTGGACCCTCCCAGGAGCTTCCAGGAGTATCCAGGAGTATCCAGTAGCAGCTGGGAGTGAGACCAAGAACAATCAGGAAAAATTAGAACAGCAGAAAATAACAATGCTACAAGGCTTCCCCTCACTTCCCTATTCAATTTTCAGACTTTCCCATCAATTCAGTTCTCATTATTTCTCGGGTCTCCAAAAGTATTTTCCATTTTTCTCCATCATTTCTTCCTCAATTTTGCAAATAATTATATATCCTGAAAGCACTTCAAAGGCACTACAGTTCCTGAATTTTTTTGATTTTTTCCCTAATTATTTTTTTCAACTTTTTAGAAGTCCCTATTTTTCAAAATTTCCTCATTTCCCTCTATATCCCCCCCTCATTCCCCCCTCATTCCCCCCCTCATTCCCCCCTCATTCCCCCCCTCATTCCCCCCTCATTCCCCCCCTCATTCCCCCCTCATTCCCCCCCTCATTCCCCCCTCATTCCCCCCCTCATTCCCCCCTCATTCCCCCCTCATTCCCCCCTCATTCCCCCCCTCATTCCCCCCCATTTCCCCCTCCCCCATATTCTGCCAGCCCGAAAGTGATTAAGTTGCCAGATTAATCATATATCAGGCCATAAATTTTGATTGTGTATTGGTGAGTCTCAGTGTCCTTGATATATAGTATAGTGTTTGATCTAAATGTTAAGCAGTGTCTTGTTGTGTTAGTCTTGTGGTAGGAGGTATTCATGGGGGATCTTCCCTCTTTTTTTTTTTCCTTTTCATTTTCAAATGCTCCAGGAGCTCCCAGAAGCTTCTCACCCCTATACACTTTGAAGCATTTAAATTGTATTTACTGGATATGTTTGTGCACAAAGCAATGCTCCAGGCCCTCCTGGGAGTGCCCTGGAGTACCTAGCCAACTCCGGAGGAAATGGGCTGTTCCTGGACCGGCCAATCTCCTCCTGATTCTCCCAGTGCTCTCGATACTCCGGAGCACTCAGGAGCATAACAATTTTTTGCTGATGTTGCTTCCCCCTATGTGGTCACAGCCATGCCCCACTTCCGTGCATTCCACACCCTCTGCCCACTCCATGCCCTCTGCCCATCTCTGCACCCCCTGGCCACTTCTGGTTGCCCTTGACACCTCTGGTCAGGTCAACACTCCCACTCCCCTCTGTACCTCTGTTGGCCTTCATGCTGTCCTTGTGTGACAGTGCTGACAGATCAACCTCTGTTCGCAGACTTGTGTCGGCACCGCACCGACCACGCTTATTTGTGGACTTGTATTGGCACCGCATGCTGACCTCCACTTTTGTCCTCTGGCCATTTTTGTCACTTGGCAACATAACATTCATTCCTTGCCAAGTGCCTATTATGTTCACCCCAATATTGGCATTTGATCCATGTGCTATTGCACTTTCCTATTCATTCATTTAATCTGTCAATATTGGTACTTGATCCGCTTTGACTTTATTCATTCCTTGCCTCCCATTTCCCAGGTTCTTGTCCTTGGTTTAGTTTGACAAGTCCCCGCTCATTTCCACTTATTTTTACACCGGACAGACCAGTCCCTCTTTTGATTTCTCTTACCTACTTATACCTTGTAAATACTTTCAGGGACCTCAGTCTGAAATCAACTAGAGTACCCCCCCTGTCCTGGTCTGAGTCCCTCCTTCTGAAAAGGGGGCTTCCCCCCCTCTGAGTCTGCTCTGCCTGCAAGTCTTGTTTGAAGTCTGCTGTAAGTGTCAGTCTGTAAATACAGGATCTTCCCCAAATGTCAAGTTCAGGGCACAGTGCTCCACCTGAGTTGCTGAGGCCACAATCCCACTCTGCTAACCTTGAACAGCGCTTCCAGACACGCCACACATTTCTGCCCACATATCCATGCATGCACACTCCAACAGACCTCTGCATCACCTCCGACCTCAACTCAGACAGAACTCCATCCGTCTTCTGACAGTATTCTCAACTCCGACAATAATCCAGTCTCTGACACTGACCCACAGTAGGCAAGTTGTATATACTTGCCTCTTGCTTATACACCATCTCTGACCCACAGTAGGATTGTGCCCTGGATAGGGCTGGCTAGACTTGAGGCTGTGGGCCATAGGCTAGGGTCATGGGGACCCAGGAGTCGTCCCCTGACAGTTAACAGCAACTAGCTGGCAACGGAGTTTGATGCTTTCTTCAATGAATGGGAGTGTGTCAGGGACCGACCCGGGGTCGAGAGCGCCCGGGTGTATCGCCCGAGGCTGAGGGTCCGGTAGGTATGACGCAGGCGCGCGTAGCAGCAGGCCCGAAGCAGACAAGGGTCCCTGGCCACTAAGACTAAAGTGGGAAATGTGTTATTGTCATTATCAAGGGAAGTGTAAGCTACTTGCCTAAAGTGGGAAATGTGAGAAGAAGGTTGCTTCTCAGTTCCCACTTAGGCTGTGTTTATATACATGTGGTTGAAGGCCACGTGGGAAGCGCCACGTCACCCGAGCGCACAGCCACCTCCGTCTGGGTACCTCCGTAAGAGGTCCTAGGAGCGTCCGGTGTGTCCGGGTTCGGGCGCGTTACACTGCAGCCGGGTCAATGGTACATTGATACAAAGGAAGTCGTCCGTGTGATAAGAAAGGAATAAAGAGGAGAGAGAATAGAAAAGAAGGAGAGGAAGGAAGGGAAGGGAGAAAAGGGGAAGAGGGGGGAGGTCGGGAGGAGTGGATGGTGGGGCATCGGGTTAGGTGGGGCCGGGTCAGGCGGGCGTGCCCTGACAGAGTGCCTCCAAGTGCTGTCCAAGATTGGAAAGAGCATCATAAAGATTGTTGAGTGACCTGGCCAAATTCGGGGTGTATGCTCCTGGGTTAACAACAACTAGCTGGCAACAGAGTTTGACACTTTCTTCAATGAATGGGAGTGCCTCCGAGTGTCATCCGAGATAGGAAAGAGCATTACATAGATTGTTGAGTGAATTGGCCAAATCCGGGGTGTATGATCCTGGGTTAATGGCAACCAGCTGGCGATAGAGTTTGACGCTTTCTTCAATGAATGGGAGTGCCTCCGAGTGCTGTCCGAGATTGGAAAGAGCATTACGTAGATTGTTGAGTGACCTGGCCAAATCCAGGGTGTATGATCCAGGGTTAATGGCAACTAGCTGGCGACGGAGTTTCACACTTTCTTCAACAAATTGGAGTGCCTCCGAGTGCCATCCAAGATTAGAAAGAGCATTACATAGATTGTTGAGTGACCTGGCCAAATCCGGGGTGTATGATCCTGGGTTATTGGCAACTAGCTGGCGATAGAGTTTGACACTTTCTTCAATGAATGGGAGTGCCTTCAAGTGCCATCCGAGATTGGAAAGAGCATTACATAGGTTGTTGAGTGAGCTGGCCAAATCTGGGGTGTATGATCCTGGGTTAATGGAAACTAGCTGGCGACGGAGTTTGATGCTTTCTTCAATGAATGGGAGCGCCTCCGAGTGCCGTCCGAGTCCAGAAAGAGCGATGTACAGACTGTTGAGTGACTCAGCCAAAGGCAGGGTGTAGGAACTTGAGTCCACAGAAAAAAGGTAACGGCAGAGTTCAACAGAATCGTTTGCTGCCTCATATGCCTCCTGGAATCTTGAAAAAAATTTCAGGTTCCACGGAAGCCGGGTAAGCACTTCAGCCAGTGTGCTAACAGCCCTGTGGTCAACAGCCAACTGGAAGACCATGAGGCCAGTTTCTTTAACACAATCCATGACCCATACCTTAGCCCACTCAGGGAGTAATGAGATACTGACGTAGTTTTCCATTCTCACACAGACTTCCACCCACTGAGTTGCTTCCTGACTCAGAAACATACTGACTGGCCCAGCAAGCTCCTCAGACCGTCCCTGGACTCCACTGAGGTGATGGATGATGTGGCGACATGCATAACGAAAGTGCTCAGATAGCTCCTTTGGAGGAATGCGCGGCATTTCATCTTTTTCAGACAAGTTTTCAATCTGTCCTAAGCCATTCACAGAGCAGAGATCCTTGTTTAAAATCTCGGTACATCTCAGGGCGACCCTGGCATTCTCCACCCCCACCGTTATCAGAGTAAAATGAGAGCTGATTGTTTGGGGATCGATCCGATCGACAATAAAATCGCGGAAAGATTGGTGTAAGATGCGAACCGGAATGTGGGAATCCTCAACTCCTGAGAGCAGAGGAGCAAGTTCGGCCAAAGCATATTGAACAGAAGAATTGAGAAAAGGTGATAGAATTGCATCCCAGGCTGTGATGGACAGAGGCTGCTGAGCAACGAAGATCGCTCCCATCACAATCGGGTAGTCATGCACAAAATCTTGATCCTCCCAATCAAACTTCTTCAAAATCCTCGTATATAGGTCGTCCATCATCTTCTCAGTGGGCACCTTCGACGGTTTGGTCCCGGTGTCGAGCAGGCTCTCCAGTGTTCTCATAGGATTCTTCCTAGGCTTCTTCATATAGCGAAAGATGGTGCTGATCCAAATGAACAAACCACCTGCTCGTTCCCGGATCTCTTGCACCGCACTATCTTCATCTTGGAGTTTATGCGATAAGTCGGGATGCCATTTCTTAAGCTCTTGTAGCTGGAATTCGATGTATGCAGCACAATCATGCATATTTGTGTCATCCAGGAGATCAATGGTGAGGTGATCGATAGGAAAATGGCGTGAGAGGGACCGATTAACAAGATCAACATGTCTTGAAGTAACGAAAAACTTTATGGAAGACGGTAACTTGGGTACTTCCTCGCAAAGAATCTTAGCAAGGGGTTGATACGCTTCTTCATCACATTCGTCTAAAGCATCGATAATGACCACCATAGGACGGCTTGGACGCCAACGCATATGGAGGAGAGGTGAAGCCACCAATTCCTGGAACTGCATCGTGAATGGAGCTGTTGAGAGGGTGGGGTCTTTTCGAAGGGCAGAGATAATGAAGGTACGGTAATCTGTGTCACGGCTTGCTAGAGCTCGTGCAATGCCGCTGAATAAACAATCCGGCCGTGGCTGTTCGCCTGCTCTGAAGAAAAAACATAGCAACAGGACAGCCTCCCTGTTACATCTATCTGCAATCGTGTGCACAATCGAAGTCTTTCCAGCGCCAGCGACGGAGGTCAGTAGCATCAGCCGGTTCTCGTTATCCCCGGTGTTACGACACCAGTTCATGATACGCTCCGTGAGATCGACCCTGGTGCCACCTAGGCACGCCTCTGTTGAATCATGATGGGCGATTTGAGGATATCGGAGATCATCAAGGATTGGGTCACTCTCCAGACGGTCTAAGCTGTCCTCCATGGTCGACAATTTGACGCCAATCGCACCCTCCATATGGTCTAGGCTGTCCTCTATGGTTGACACTTTAACGTCAATCGCACCCTCCAGCCGGTTTAAGCTGTCCTTTATAGTCGATAATTCGACACCAATTGTTAAATTCGTCCTAAACTGCACCGTCCGAAGATCAGAATGATTAGGGAACAATGCCATGAGGAGAGCTACCTGAAACGATGCCAGCGCTTTGTCAAAATCTTTCTTTAGGCCCTCGAATTTTCCAGGGTCTCGATAGTGAGACAGTGCATTTCTTACACCTGACCGTTCCTCTAGTTCTCTGAGTCTTTGTTTGATGTTGGACTGGATGCGTTGTAGCGCGCTGGTACTGGACGTAAGTATGGTATCGGAAACTACCAAAACCAATACAACGTACCTCCCAAGCTCCGCGACACCCTCCACCCATGACCCTGCCTCCCCCGCTGACACATCATAAGACTTTATGGCTGAAACTACCTTGGCCACAGTGCTAGCTACGTATTCACCAAAATCAGCCCATTCCTTCTTGTTCTCCTTGAACTTCTACGTGGCACACTAGCGTGAGCTTTCATTCATAATCAAGCTGGAATCACCACCAACTTTAACCTCGTCGAAGATGGAGAGTGCACCGCCAGTCGCCATCTTCAGAGGGGGACACCAATCAGCGGTAGCATTGACGACCCTGAGAATTGGAACCGCCATGTCAACTCCCACCACGAGGAGATTATCGATCGTTTTCCTGAGATCTTCAGCCTTTTCCCGCAGCGACATGGTTGATAGCGGACGAGTGGATGGAGGAGAGAGAGTTTGGGCGCGCAACGCACGTGCAAGCCCCTAAAGGCCCAAAAGCTAGAACCACGAGGCGTCCGTCTGATTATGGAAGCTTGCGGAAGGATATGATATATGTAAGTCTACTGCACGAGAGCCAGTATTATAGCGCTGCCTGGAACTGGAAGCAGGATGAATGTGATTAGGAATGAGAATTAGATAAAGGACTGTGGGGCGTCATACCGAGGCACTGGTCACGGCGTTCGCTTCGTACAGAGAGCGGGTGGTAAGCGGTGCCAGGGCACGCGTCCGCGACGTATGTGCGTCAGTGGAGCATTCCATCCGGGTCCAGGAGTGCAGCCATGAGCTTTCACACGAGCTATACTAGTAGGATGCCGGTAAGTGGCCCGGCGCTGGCATTGTGCACGTTGATTGAAAAAACGGGCCCTGGACAAGTATACTTTTTGTTCAAGTCCGGCTAAAATCATTCTCCGCAACCAATTTCCTTTCCCTTTTGATTAGGGGCCAACTAGATAGCGCCTTATTAATATAAAGGTCCACAGCGTCACAGCAGTAGTGACGGTTCGTACATGTCCCACGGTCACTGGTTCCAGGCTCGTGGAGCTGTAGCGTCAACTTAAACACCACCGCGGGCGCACGGCGTCCCATACCCGTGCACTAGTTAATTATAATTGGCACTTGGAAACTAGCTCGGGACTCCAAAGCCTGATTCTCGACGTTCCCTATCCAGCACAGTATGTGGCCGCACTGGACCTGAATTCGCACTCAGCTCTCGACTTGATGTAAAACCGACAAAGGACTGTTATCGAAACACAATGATCGCCAAGCCAGTTGTAAAGAAAGATGGCACCCAACGGTTAGCGCCAGCACCATCATCTCCTAAACGCGGGACAGAACCAAGGAAAGATAATGAAACGTATGAAGCTCACGACTGCAACGCTTGAAAAAATGAAAACGAAACAATGAAGATTGTCTGTTGGTGTACGACCCGGTAATGAGCAAGAGTTAATATGAGGTGTTGGATGACATGCCACGACGACGCGCCGGTATATCTCCACGCAATGCTACAGTGTTTCACGTGTAGCAGCGCGTACCATGTCTCATTCACTATTCCCTTCTCCGGTATTCCGTTATTACCTCAGCCACTTATACTGCCACGCGGTTACATGTTATCAATCAATCTTTCCCCTTCGTACGAGCATCATGAGTGCTACCTAACGGAAGGTACGCAGTGCGTGAGCCCATAGTAGGAGATGAGAGTACTGAAAAGGAGTGGATGAAATGATGTCATAAGCACCACATCGCTAGGCTACATAAAATCGAGTCGAACATCACTCAAGCGGCGGAATTCGGCTAGAGACTGGTTATTTACATAAGGGTAGACGGCAAAGTGGGGTGCCATGTGAATATGGCTTGCAATGAGCAACGCAATGCCTACTTCCAGGCACCACCCACAAGACGCTCCTAACTCTCAGTAGGATTCGGACGTCGACAGCGTTAGAAGGTAATAGTACAATGATGTCCGAAGGCGCGCAATGTGGCCCTCATTGATCCCACCATCAATTATGGTGAGTAGGTGATGTGGCCCAACAGTACGGTGATAGCATTGGAATCTGGACTTGATACCACAATGGGCGACAGAGATCGGTACAGTGCTGAATAGAAAAGTATCGAGAGGGGTTGTGGCTGAGGAGGACACTGAGCGCTGTTGAACAATCTGGCTAATTCGGTACATCGACTCGATGATCCCATCGTTTCGAGCAGGAGTAGGAAAACTCAACCTATATAGCCAGGACATCAAGGCTTCCAGAGTTCCATCGCGCGTACAGTATGAGCCGCTGCGATTGGTCCGTTCGGGATGCAGTGTTGCGTTTAGTTTAGGCCGGATGGCCAGCGTATGTTTAGTAAGAAATTACAATTGGTTAGAGTAACCACACTCGGAGAACCACGTCATCACTTTGAGCGATCGGCGAGCTTCCCGATCTCCTCTCCGTTGTACGCAATGATATCTAATGAATGGTCCATCCATCCGACCTAGAAAACGTTCGACATCAGTCATTCTGGGGATATTGTGTGAATTAACAGTGAAGTGGGACGGATTCTGACTCCACTGAGCTTTCAGCACCGTCAATCAACGTCCAGTTTGACAGTTATGAGCTTTTTGTATTGGTTGGGGAAACTTTAATTTCTCCCCCGATGAGAGTCAAGCATCCAGATTCCAAACTTATTCCGCGCAGGTCAGTGAGAAATGGTGGCTCCGGATATGAATAAAACTGACTTGTCAAATTATCATCATAGCACGTTGTCACTATGTTCCTCCCTCCAAAAGCTGAGCTGACACTGTGTTTATGCTCAAATTGCCCGAGGATACAGCCCCGACCAGATTTTGATGAAAGGAAATCTGCGACAGCCTCGTGATCTGCTTCTAGGACAGGAGGCGGTTTCACTTTAAGCGAGCTGGAGCCGTCATCATCACCCTCAACAAGTGCACCAGTTTCAATTAACATAAGTTTTCGAACGTCCCATGTTCTGCAGGAAGTTAAGTCCAAAGCACTAGCAGCATTGCTTCAGGGAAAGATCGTTGCTCGCGGTGCACAAAAGATGACACCTTCTCCTTCCAGCAGCAGGATTGATGCTGACACAACCAATCTTCAATTTAGCGTTCACTTGTCTCCGTAATCGGTTGCCTTCCCGGAGGTCCAAAAAGCTTAGTCCACCATCAGTGTCGGAGATCCATATTTCATTCCCACATGGCGCGATATCAAAGGATGTGAGAAGTGTCGAAGCCGAGGCAAGAGAAAAGAGCTCAGCAGATTGCCCAGATGTAAAGGAGGTCACACGCAGCATGGAATCATAGGATGTCGTCAAAACCTATGTAACTGAATAAGCCGAGCGATTCCCATCCACATGCGCTTTTAACTCACACTATGTGCATCGGTTGGGCTGAATTTGATGCAAGATATCGAGGTCTTTGGAGATCTTGGCCAATGAGGCTGTAAACGCCAATATCTTCCTCCTCGGGTATCATCATATTTATCCTCTTCGTTCTCTTCGGATGGCGCCAGCGCATCCCAAATACCAAGCTGGCCATGCAACAAAAATGAGATCATTCGTTTTCTCTGGGTGGTAAGCCATGGAATAAATTCTCTCCCTCGAAACCTTGGCTCGCGATCGCACGACCATGCTGCCAAGTCTTTTCCTAAGATCATTGATATCAGGATCGCTGCCCCGTAGCTGAGGCTTCTCCGCAATATTACGAGAGTTCCGTAGTCGTGTTTCGACAGAATGCACGTCATTGCAGGCAGTTTCGAGAGTATCCCTTAATGATGAGATTGATTCCTTTGTATCGTCCTCGTCGCCGACAAGATCATCCAGAGACAGATTTCCATGGCGCGGACGCCTCGCTACGCGTTCGAGCTCTAGCACGGCAAGTCTCTCCACTTCTTCGCGTTTCCTCTTTGTTTCCAGCTTTTCCTACAAGAAAGACAAGCGACGTTGAGAAATACACGTGCTTGACGCGGTCATTCGAGTAAGTCGCGAGCGTACGACGACACTGACCAGCCTTTGTATGGGAGTATCATCCGGGCTTGCGTGCAGATGGGCAAGTCTGGAGGACTGCCTTCGGGGAACAGATGTGTTCTCCTTTCTCGCTTTCTCCACCTTCCGAGGCCGGACTGGACGAACCCGATCGATCTTCTCTGAAATCCTGCTCTTTGCAGACTTAACGGGCAACATCCCAGGGGAATGAGAAGCATCTTTCAGGTCCAGGGACGCCAAGAGTGCTTCATTCTGTGCAATATTTCTTCGGCGAATTTCCTCGCTTTGTCGTGTCACTCAAGCACAGATCGCTAAACGCGTAAGACGCGAACTCACCAGTCAATGTCCTCCTCCATAATGAGAGCTTAGTATCCGGCCAAACTTCACGTACATGCGCAAGTGGACATAGACAGCTTCAAGTGCCCGCTCCTTCCAGCTCTCTTCTCTAGTGCTCTTCATTCTTCATGTTCTTTAGCCGTGGCAAGACTGTTAAATTCGGACGTGAAGGCTGGCAGTTGGACTGCATCCACATTGCTGCCACACATGCATGGATCCGTGCCGTCCAGCGAAATTCATTCAAACCGAAGAGGAGTGTCACAAGCGTGGTGAGTAATGGGAGTATCGTGTTCCCAGGACGATCTGGGGGTTAGATAGGCTGCTTGAAAGGCATTAGCACCTCGTTGACAGCAGCTTCATACAGCCTTGCATTAGTAACGCATGGTGCCTGCAAGCGCCCATGCTCTCACGCTTTTGGCATGACTCACAGTATCATTGTATTCTTGCATTCGTTTCTGGACTAGCTTCAATAGTACACCGGAACGGCTTTGGGTTTCACTTGGGGGAAGTGACATCACTTAAAGAAAACATACTCGGCCGAAGAAAGATAGATCCCGCGGGTGTATGTATAAGCTAGCGAAAAAGCATTACCAAACAGTGCATATCGTTACGCTGAATGAGCGACTAACCGGTGGTGGAACGACCATGGTAAACTGTTTAATGGCGACATCGAATCACATCCAACTAGACGGGGAAAAGGACACATAATTAGAGCACCAAGCCGCAAGACGCAGAAGGCAGAATCCAGTGTTGCTAACGTATGAGCTCAAAATCGAAGTCTGGGACTGGGAGAATCACCAAGGTGAGCAAGTTTAAGTGGTGCATCAGTAGTGCTGCACATGCATCGTTCGATCCAACGAAATTTTTCATACAAGCATGCGGCATGCGTCAGTGTGGAACTGCACCGAAAACCTTCTGACAAGCGTTCATGTGATAAAAATTAAAATGCCGACGCAAGTTTAGAGGATGTTGATCTGTTAGGCAAGAGGACACAGTGTTGTGCAACAACAACGAAGATTCGACAGCAAGAGCCATGAGCAGCCCAGCGAAACGACTGCAAGGATGCGTGCCAGCAAGGCACAAGGGGTGGCCGCACGCTGATGGATTAGTGTAGGTTGAACAAAATCTGAAAGACGGCATTCGCCGAGGGCTGGCAATGCCAGTGTTGTGCGGACCTGGTCCCAAATAGTCCCAAAGACTGAAGTCCCAGACTCCTTCCCAGTCGCTCACATGATTTCTCCGAGGTTTAGCCGCAACTTACGTTGCCCTCCGAAATCTGTCGAGCGACTGGTACAACTTGCAACACGTGATGTTCCCACGCTAAGTTGTAATGAGTTGTACATAGGTTACGGAATATAATTTTTAGTATTTACGCATGCGGTCATTGCACCCAACCCAACCCGTGGAGGCTAAGGGAGCACATCCAAGGTTGTGGAGTCAACATCCGGGGGTGCGCGAAGTTTAACAGTTTATATATTACTTAGTTACAAGTCACTTGTTTGTGCCCGGTGGCATAAGTGGTATGGCGTTAGCTGAGGCTATGCAGTCTTTTTAAGTGGCACATGTTCAATTCTCACTTAGGAAACTTTTTTTTTTCATACCCTCCATTCCTTAGTGTACAGAAAACAACCATTTCAAACAATTATTCCATGGGAGGGCCCAAAAAGAGTTTGCCTAAGTGAGAATTGAACATGTGCCACTTAAAAAGACTGCATAGCCTCAGCTAACGCCATACCACTTATGCCACCGGGCACAAACAAGTGACTTGTAACTAAGTAATATATAAACTGTTAAACTTCGCGCACCCCCGGATGTTGACTCCACAACCTTGGATGTGCTCCCTTAGCCTCCACGGGTTGGGTTGGGTGCAATGACCGCATGCGTAAATACTAAAAATTATATTCCATAACCTATGTACAACTCATTACAACTTAGCGTGGGAACATCACGTGTTGCAAGTTGTACCAGTCACTCGACAGATTTCGGAGGGCAACGTAAGTTGCGGCTAAACCTCGGAGAAATCATGTGAGCGACTGGGAAGGAGTCTGCTGAAGTCCGTGAGTCCGACTCAATGGTCTCAAGTCTCTCTCACAGTCCGTGCAAGTCGGACCTTTTGGCGGGAAATCCCGATATTCAGAGCCGTCTGACCGATTCCTTGCAGGATAAATTTTGTTTATTATGGATTTTATGTTGCAATGACTGTCTGCTGGCATACAAGCAACACAATATAACTAAGAGTGTAAGAGTGATTCCACTTCAGCTTGAGTTACCCACATTTGCGACTTCACCCCCTGATTCACCACGTTTCATGTTGTGGGATTTTCGAAAATTTCCGAGCACAATCCCGTGCATTTCTGCCTCCCATCCTTTGCTTAACATGGGTGTCCCGAGTCCTATGTGGGAGCATTTCTATCACCTTGACAGGCTTTATGGAAATAATAAAAGCCACCGAGTCGCAAAATGCAAGGGATGTGTAGCTTGGCATGCAAGGACACTGGAGGCAGCGGATTCTGAGGCCATCTCAACTGGAGATGCTGCACGGAGACGCTCAGCAGGTGAACTACATGAAGCTGGTATGGATAATCCCCTTAATTTGATTCAAGAAGTGCTCATCAACCAAAAAATTTAAGCTCTTACACTCTCATCCGATATTCAAGGCACGGTAGAAAAGTTGGCACGTCATCTTGTAAAATGCGCGCATGCTTCCCAAGATGGGTGTGCTGAAGGACAGGCATGGCTAAGCCGACGTTCAACAACTCCACTCCCTCATGTGCATATAACACCTGCCAACAATCCATCATCAACTCAGAGCCACGCTTCTCCATCTGCAACACTACTTGTCCCTCCAGCCCATATTCCCCATCGGCGAAGCACCTCACCAACAACTCCTACACTTCCAAATGAAGAACAAGTAGCACTTGAGGAACAATTACTCCGTGCTATCGTGTCTGCTGGATGGTCCTTCCTTTGTGTTGAGAATCCGGAGGTTGTCAAGTTATTTTCAATGTTGAACCCGGCCTTCAGACTTCCAAATCGGAACAAACTTTCAGGACAGATTCTAAACACGGAGTTTGACTGACGACATGAGGAGTTGACTCGGTTAATGAAGGGGGCATATGCTACTGGTCAATGTGATGGGTGGAAGGACGCTTCTCGGAACCACCTAGTTGCCTTTATGATCTCATCAAGGGGAATGGTAGGCCAGTTACTAGCAGAATTGACCTTCATTATAACTCAACTATTGAAAGGTACGAGTAACAAATGTGTATGACAACACAGGGGAACGCAAAACTGCTGAGAACCTACTTACACACATTAAGAAAGAAAAGGATTATATTGAAGGCCCTTTAGGTCTAAAGCTCATCGGGTGGGTATCAGATGCATCAGGAGAATCTCGGGCTGCACGCATTAGATTATTGCATCATTTTCCACGGCTCTTAGTAACAGATTGCTATGCTCATCAGGTATTTCCCTGTGCTCGAAACAGTTCCCATGCTAATCCATTTATCATAGATGCAGCTTATTCTCGGTGACTATATTAAGCGCAACAATGGAATGTCGTTGCGATTGGCACAGGCGAATGAGATAATCAATTGGTTCAACAACCATTGTCTGGCGCTTCGTTTGCTATATACAGAGCAGCGCACTGTCCATGATACTGCACACCAGGCAAAGGCCCTCATTCGGCCAGTAATCACAAGGTGGACATCACATGTATTGGCCATACGACGTCTTCTTCTCCTAGAGACATGCTTCCGAACCATAGTGTTGAAAAGCCGGAGTGAACTTGAGTTTGCTGCTGGTACTAGGGGTGATTCAGTGAATAAAGCGCGCCAGATCATCTCAATCATTGAAGATAATGGTTTCTGGAATGATTTAAAACAGTGAGCTAGTGTGAGGTCTTTGGGGTTGCTCAGCACACAAAGCCGTAAGTGATACAAGATGATGTATTTTACGGTGGTGTGTAAGCGGTTACCCGGAGGTTCCCGCTTGTCCACGTGACTATATCTATCTAGTTTACATGTGACTCGGGGTTCGGGGCTATTGCCCTGACAGCTAGTATGATACCGGGATCACAAACGATATTGATAATTCCGTCTGATATCTAGGATAAAGAACCATATAGAGCCCCTTGCAGTCGCCGTGAATGTTTGTCAAGGTTCCAATACCAGGGCAGACCAAGTCGCACTCATCTTTGGCCGACTCTACAAGCACTACACCGATATGTCTTTTGCCGACATATTGTCTTCTAGTGAACACTCTCCCGTTGATGCTATTCTCTCTAGTCTTGATGCCCGCTGGAGCAAAATAGACCATGATTTTTTTATAGTCGCAGTCACCCTTAATCCGTTCATCAAAACTTCCCTCTTCACCCCACTAGTCTCTACCGGGATCTTGGTGACAATGATCGAGCGTCTATATTGCCGCGTGTTTGAAACCACCACACCACCACAAACATTGGGCCAGCGCGCTATTGCGTACCTGACAGACAGCTATGATACATTTGGGTATCAGGGTGGGGACTGGAGTCTGGCTAATCTTCGCAATCGCATACCGGTATGCAAATTTTTCCTTCACATCCTACTCAAGCTGATTATTGTCACTCCACTAGGATTCCAATCCAATGATGGCTTGGAGATGTGCTCACAATGATGACCCACTAGCGCGGCTTGCTATTCTCATCTTCTCCTTTGTGTGCAATTCAGCTGATTCAGAGCGCTTCTTTTCTATCACTGGTGACACAAAGAGCCCTGCACGCAATCGACTATCTGTTGAGAAGATGGTGAAAATCTCATCTATCAAACTAGACCTAAATCGCCAACATGCAATCGAAGGTTCACATAGAAAGAGAGTCCGCCGTTCATTTGGACTTGCTCCTTCTGCTAGTGACTGTGACCCATCCGGGGGCCGTTTGGAGCCCGAGCACGGACATCCTTCATGCATTCCTGATGAAATAAACCATGGATATCATTCTTTCCGTGCCCAGCTTCTTGAGGACCTCACAAGTGACCGCGATGCAGAGATGAATTTTAATCCACCATTAAGATCCTCTGAAGTAGGTTCCATTTTTCATCCCTACTAAAGTATCTACTCACAATCTGCCCTCAGGGCATAAGTTTGCAGGGGAGAAGGGTGCACGATATCTTCAATTTGACGCGTGATTCAATGTGGGACCTTTACTGGATCCAGGGTGAGCGCAATATTGCACTAGAAACTGAGATGGAGGACCTCTTAACACGAGAGAGAAGCTTAGACCTAGATGGGAGTCTAGAGACAGTGGCAGGATGGAGTATTAGCGTGGCGCATTGAGCGCTTGTAGTTAAATCCGTTAGTCCATTTTAACTCCATTGGCTCAGACCTGAGATGGACCGAGACTCCCGTCCGACCCCGGTCTGACCCGGGTCCCCGTGACTTCGAGTCTGACTCAGTCTTGTGCAACACTGCCGATCGCGGCCTGCTCGATGTTCCGGAGCGCCACTTAGAGCTCTTGCACACTGTGTTGGACCGGCGAACAAGTCAAACAGGGTGCTAAAGGGGAAATCGGCCTGTAGTTGGTTGCAGATGGGTGTAGATGTGCAACATTGAGGAAAGGGTCTGAATGTCCAATTTTCCGTTTGAATTCTGTGTCTGCTACCTGATACAAGGTTGCAATGTAGATGGGTCGAATGGGGTAAAGGCTGGTGAAACGGCGTAGATACAAGTTCCTCTCTTCAGGCTTGTTGCTAGATCAAAATTGATAGTTCGGATGCAAATTTGAGGAAAATTTTCCGTTCCCCCCAAACCAAAAATCACTGGTAGAACAAGAAATCACCCCAGAATGCCTTCCCTCCCGCAGAACGCATCTTCAAATGCATTTGACTCATCAATTCTGACCCTTCAGGCCACTTTCTCCAGTGGCATGACCTTGTTGACTATGGCTTCCACTGCCAACAACTTCCTCAGAGCTACAGATGGCCCGTTTGCAGAGTTGAAAGAGCTTATTGCACAACATACTTCCATCGAAGACAGGCCACAATTCCAACCACTTGTCCCCCCCAATCAAATTGTGAAGGGGATTGTGCAGAAAATATGGGGTCATTCATCTATTGAGACAGTCGGAGATATTGGCGATATACTGGAGAAGGGACTCGTTATGGATGATTTGAGCCTCGAAGGTGCATTGGTGTCTTTGTTGCTTACACCGTTTAGAAATACTCAAGGACCCCCTGCAGTTTTTTTAGAAGCTTGCATTGCCGGTTACGCACAGAAAAAGGGGAAGTCCCCCCAAGAAGTCATGAAGAGGTTCCGTTTACACAATCCCACTGAAGCGGGCCAAATGGCTTGGCAAACATGGCTTAAGCTTCACCGTAAGTTAACCACATACTCGCAAGATATTAGGAACTAATCATTTCCTAGCTGGAATTGACAGTCAAGAAGCAGCATGCCTGCGTAAATTACAGCAACAGGATATCGATAGGAAGTACCCTGACCAGGCAGAAGAAGCAAAAGCATTCTATGATAAAATTCTGATACATTGTGGGGACCTTGTTTTATCGAAGGACGAGAGGGAGGCTCAACCAAATGAAGGCCTTTATCTGTTGCAGAAAATAACGGGAAAATATGCTGCTCAGGTATAGTACAGAATCCAGTAACTATCGCAATCGATTGTACTGAAAAATTTGCTGATAGCTCGCTGCACTCAGCTCCATTCATCCTGTTGGGGTGGCGTTAGTGGGGTTCATAGCAGATGACAAGCTTGCCCCTTGGGATTCGACTATCGCATTTACGAGCTCACCAATGATTGCGGAAATGGTCAAAGCTATGGGCCTACCCCTCACAGAGGATAGTGCCTTAGCCATGAGGAACTTCTACGACGGGATAAAGGCATTCAGGTACAAGGTTTATGCAGGAAAGGCACAAATAACTTACTCATATCCTTCCAGCCCATATCAACCCGACGCCATTAAACAGAGGTATGAGCAATTTGTCTCCTAGCCCGCATTGGCTGAAATAGGTGCAGAACCTTTCTTCAACATCTTGGGGCGTTTACGAACCCCGATAAATCTACCAGCGAGGTGTTTGGTGCCTCAAGCCTCATGAAGACCGTCGTGATGCACATGAAGCAAAGTGTCCATTTCAGCGATGATCTGGACAGGTATTTGGGAAATGGAATGGGAAACACGGCCATCAAATCAGAGGTTGAGGGCGATGCGAACAACGTGGATTACCACACACCCACATTAAAAAGGAAGGAAGGCCTCGCCTTTGCAGACGAGACCTATGGCTCGCATCCCCAACGCCGCACTGAGTGTGCTGGGTGGCTTAAAGCAATCATTCGTATGTCCTTTTGCCGTGCCGTCTGATTGCTCATCTGACATCTACTTGTAGTGGAGGCAACAGGGATAACTGAGCTTGGGCACAACTGGAGAGTCGCCAACATACTTTCATTCATGCTTGAGCATCATCTCCATTTTGTTGGTTGGCATCGTGGTGTCCCATGCTTGAACAAGTCACTACCATGCGATTGGACCCCATGCGAGTCTGCACGGTGTATAATGCAGCTCACTCACCAGGATCCGGAGCAGACGTTGAGGGTGGAACAAATGACAGATGGTGAGGAAAATGTCAATGAAACTTCAAAAAAACACAGCTCACCGGTTTGGGCTTACCAGACGAGTACCTGACGTGTGAGGTGCTACACTATGCACCAGATGCGAAAGGGAATATTACGAAATACCTATTGCCTGAACACGAGACAAGGAGGGCAATTGCGAGGACAGCAGTCATCCCCGCACGAACCCAAAAACGTAAGGACAGCATGCCAAACTCCCCAACTGTGGAGATGGAAGGAGATTCGGTTGGTGATAATCAAATATCATCCCCGTTGTAACGGGGATTTGCCAGTGCACCCTAAACGAGCCAAATCCCACGATTCTACTACCCTCAGCAAGCACCTCACATCCATCACATGTAACCCATGTCCACTCACACTCCTTACACATATTTCCTATTTTTCCTAATTTTTCTGATTTCATTTCCGGTGTCTAGAGCCAGATGTTTCTGTTTTCTTATTGTCATGTGATACTCTTTCCTTATTTATCTATCGGACTCTTCCATGACCCGCTGTACAGTAGTAGAGAGTTATCAGCACCACGCTTGAGAGGACCAATATACCCCACTTCAGACCTGACTTGTAGTGAGATCCTTATCCCCCCTCTTTCCTGTTGCGAGTCTAGCTGGATAGACCCGTTACACCGTCTTCCAAGCGATGCAAGAAGTCCAAAGCCACTCGTGCATGCACCCTCACGAAGGCAAAACCTCCCCGTGTGACACCTGGGGGCCACAACCAAATGAAAGAAGCCGCGGTACCAGAGAACGAGGTGAAAGGTCCACAGGACGATGGCATCGTACCCGAGACACCACCTCGCAACTCACCTGAACCGGGCGGGTCTTCATCATCATCAGTAAAGTTAGAGGCAATAAACCTGACAACGTTCCCATCGGGTGTACGCTCAGGCTTCCAGCAAGGGCGTGGGCCGCAACTCCCTGATGACCCAGAAAACGACGTCTTCATGGAGCAAGCCGTTCCGGAATCACATACGCCAATGGTCATCCCTCCAATTAGGCTCATCCATCCAACACCGCATAGTACTCCCTCAAAGTTCAACCAGTGTTGAAGATTAATGGAAGTACGCACCTCACTGTGAATGAAGGTCCAACGTCCCGGGCACCGTCGGAGGCACCGTCATCCGTATCAAGCCTAAGCGGTGAGCCTCCCACCTTTGACACCTTGTTCAGGTGTGCATGAAACTCAGTGTGGTGGGCTGCATCGAAAATGTTGCTGGCGGTTCGTTTGAAGGCACTAATGGAAGAAAACGTTGAACTCCTAGTCAACATCGACATCATTGCCCTGCATGTTACCGAGAAGGAGCCACCTCCTGAAGTCTTAGATGTCGCTCAACACTGGAGAATGATTAGCGCCGTTGGAAACGAGCTTCGTGACAGGGGGGCTGATGTAGGAAAGGTTGCCAGGAGGGTGGTCCAACTGCTTGACGAGTTGGAAGTGAACGACGACGAGGATGTGATAGCTACGTGGATACAGATGTTGCCCAGTTGAGTGACCCAAACATCACAACCGATCATTGGAAGGATACATAGGTATCTTAAAATGAAAATATTGCACGCGTCATTATTAAACCTATGGGCTGGGCACAAGTGCAAGGCATAAGCTCAGCAAACGTAAAATACATCGGGAAGTTATATGCTACAAATTATTCTAGAGTATATACAAAGTGAACGGAAAACGGTCACAGACAGCTATTGCGTGATGCTCTCCGACTACTACTTGCCGCTTAACTCTTCTGGAGTCGGCTTGTTTGGAGGAGCAGGAGGGCTCTCTGCAACTTTGAGCGCTGAAGGAGAGAACGAAGGAAGGTCAGTTGGGAGGTTCAAACGAGACCACCACCAAGCTGTTCCCTGGTTCTTTAGTTAGGATGGGGAAGTGTACTAGTGTTATTTATTGTAAATAAAGTACCAATCCGAGTGTTTTGGCTAATTCTATTTTTATGGGTTAGTTTCAAAGTTCCTGGGAATTGACTTACAGATAAACCGAGCCCTGCGGAGCTGTTTCTTTATTGAAATTTATTAATTTGTCTAGGTGTAATTCTGTGTAGCGTTGTTTAATTTGGATTTAAACTTGAATTTAATCTTCTACTTGGTGAAGTTTCAAAGATTCTATTTAGTTAATGAATTTGGATGGTGTCTGGAGTGTCCCTTGAGTTCGTTTTATTTTTGTCTTTATTTTATCACTTGTTTTAACAGTAGCAAAATAACTGTTTTGTGTTTACACTTTGAAATCTGGAGTGTTAACCAGCTCTCCTGTTGAAATATCTACTTAATATTTCTCTCCTTAATTGCTGCCTTTTACTACAGTGGCAATCTTAACTGTATATCACTTTTTCGCACTGGAGTGACAACCAGAAATGCTTGAGAAAAATAATACTCTATTTTCTTACTTCTCTAAGGGGGGCGAAAAGTCGCAGAAAGGGTCTCCCTTTTATACTCCTTGGGTCACCTTCCTTTTTCATGCTCTACCTTCTATTTACAGGATTTATTTACAGTGTATTTTTCTCAAACTGAATAAAAATGAAATTTTCATGCTATAGTTCTACTGTGCTTTTGCTGCGCTGAACTGCGGTTCTACTGTGGTCAGACTGCGCCTAGAATTCTTATTGTCCTCCCTCGCCTAAGCTATTTTAATGGTTAATTAGAACTTGGCTGCGCTGCATTTGCTGCAGTTACCTATTTCAAATTCTATATATATACCATTAAATTTGCTATGACTCGATGACTCTGAATTCAAACTTCGCATTACTATGCATACGGCTGTGCTGAGACCTTCAGCTGATTTATTCCATTTTTATTTAGTGACATTTAGTTAAAATGAGACTGAAATGGTAAATGAGTGAATTATTCAGGTTTGAAACTGAAAGAAAAAGTTGCTAGTAGTCAAGAATTACTCAAACGAATGTGTTATAGCTCTCCACCTCATTAGAATATCGTTCCCTAAAATTCCCGCCATGGTCCGTCGTAGTTTAGTGGTTTTCATGAATTTTGTTCATATTCTCTGATTTCCTTTTGTATTATCACATCCTAATCCTCCATATGTATCGTTGGTTGTTATAGTAGGTTGTCCTTGAAGATATCATATTTTTATCTATTTTATTTAGGACTCTGGACCTCTTGAAGCTGTTTTCCCGCGCATTTTCAGGTTTCTAACTTCATGTCCTTGTATCTCATTCATTTCTGGATGTTTTCTCACGTTCTTAGTATCATAAATTTTCATTTATTCCCACCTTTCCAATGGTACTAATATTGTGTCCTATTTCCTGGTATTCGTTGAGTTAGCAAAGATTCGCGCGCACATTCGGTAATCACGTGCGTCGTTCGTATGCGGGAGCCGTTTTCATTTATTTGTTCGGGATTTATGATATGCGCGGGTGTTTATTTCTTTCATATGGGCTTCTGTGATTTATTTCAGATTTTTCCCTCATGATCTAAGGTTGTTTTGCACTTTCCGTGCTTTGTTTTGACCGGGCTCTTCCTTATTTGGACGGAAATTGGTCTTCGCGATCTGCCGAAGTGCGGATCTCGGTTCCGACGGCCGGTTCCCTGCACATCGCCACCCTCACGTGTCATTACACATGATGCGGATTCCTATATTCCCGTCATGGGTATAACTTCACAACGGCTGGACCGTTTGGGCTGAGAATTTGCATAACTATAGTTTCCTATTTTTCATAATTTCCGTGTAAATTTCGTTGTATGTTTTAATTATGGATCCTACGCAATCATCGTCTTGTCCCTGAGCTCGGACTTTTGATGTCACTATTCCTGTTATTGGATTTCTCATTAACGCATGATCCTTTTATTATGAAAATTTGGGAGGATTAAGAGTAGATCCTTTCCTTTCTAATGGGCTATCAAGCTTGTCTCGGTCGTTACTAGTTAATCTTCGCACTTGCTTTTTAGACATTGTCCTCGTTTTGCAGGAGTTTTAGTCATATCTCCGTCGTTTATGGGTAGTTTCCCCTGTAATTACTCTCATTGGTTCCGTTGGGTGACATCTACATTTTCTATTATAAACACGACTTTGACTTTTGCATTAGTTCCTGAGGAATCTTTGTTCTGTGGTACTTCCATCCTTGCTACGTGTGCGGACGTGGGAAAGTAGTTTCCGTGGAGGTTCTTTGATTATTTTTATAGTCAAATCTTGGTCGATTGTC